CCCAGGCCCTTCCATCTCTGGATCCTGCAGTGCCCGGCTCCGAGCAGCAGATGGCGCCCGCGCTCCCCTCCGCGCACCACCTGGAGCTGGGGTGAACCCCGCAAAGGTTCCAGCACAGTGGCGACCCCCGCGGTGACGACCGGGTCACCCTGTACAAGACTCCCCGAAGTGCTGGCGCGTCCCTAACCAACGCCTGCTCCCCAGACTGCACCCGGGAGCAGGCGCGAGCCAAGCAGGGCCTCGAACTCCTGCGGCCACAGAGGGGGCGGGACACAGGGGCCACCAATTCGGGGCGGGGGTGGGAGTGGGGAGGAGGGGCGGGACACAGGGGCCACCAATTCGGGGCGGGGGTGGGGGGGACACACAGGCACCCGCGTCGGGGACGCGCCTGTGACGAGCCTGCCCTAGGCGGGGATGCGCCAGCCTGGCCGTTTCCTTCCTCCCCGCCCGGCCCATCTGTCCGTCTTCTGGGAACCCAGCTACAGTGATTCCCGGAAGCAGTCAGGAGGATCACAAGTCCTCGCACATTCTTGTAAGAATAAATTTTATAATAAAATAACCTCGGGAGGCAGAGGCAGGCGGATCTCTGAGTTCGAGGCCAGCCTGGGCTACGGAGTGAGTTGCAGGACAACCGGGTTCCCACAGAGAAACCTTGTCACAAAAACTGCAATAATTAAAAGTTTTAAGAAAATAAGATAAAATAATAAAGTGATACAATAGCATTAAAAATTAAGTCAATAAATGAAATGGAAAAAGACAATACAATAAACAATATAAAATGCAAAATAGGAAGAGTACGTTGAAAATGGTCCTGGAGCGATGAATCAGCACTTAGGAGCACTTCCGGCTCCTCAGGACCCAGTGCAGTGGTATCCCCACGGACACCCACGTGACTCCAGCCGCACGCTCTCAGACGCCCTCTCTGGCCACCGCGGAAAACTGCACTCTCATGCACACAGCCCACCAATCATACACACAATTAAAACTGATCAATTCAATATTAAAAACTAAGATCATAACAGCAAGTAAATAAAATAATTAAATGCAATGAATAGCATATACAACACCCTGGCTCTCAAGGACTGAAATAAAGAAGACAAAAGGGATTTTTTTAATGTGTTATTAATGCCAGGTGGTGGTGGCCACACCTTTAATCCCAGCACTCAGGAGGCAGAGGCAGGTGGATCTCTGGGAGTTTGAGGCCAGCCTGGGCTACACAGAGAATCCCAGTCTCAGGGGGGAAAAAAGTTTTTATTTATTTGGTTTTTTGAGACAGGGTCTCTCTGTAACCCTGGGTGTCCTGGAACTCACTGTGTAGAGCAGCTGGCCTCGAACTCAGAGATCTGCTTGTCTCTGCCTCCTGAGTGCCTCGATTTATTATTGTTTTTATTATTTATCAATTATTTAGTAGTATGGTGTTTTGAGACAGGATCTCACTCTGTAGCCCAAGCTGGCCTTGAACTCACAGAGATCCTCCAGGGTCTGCCTCTCCAGTGCCGGGATTAAACGGGTGCGCCACCACCCCCAGCCCCGGAAATGTGACTTTTTCAGACGTGGATGGGGGCCAGCGTTGACACAATGATTGAATATTTTTGCAGAAGCCTCTGTGATGACGCCATCGCCTGTGAAGTAGTCAAGGTGTCATGATAATCATGACCGCCAGAGGGCGCGAGAGACCCCGCTTCAGCTCACAGCGCGGGCGCAGGGGCCGCTGTCCTCTGTCTGCAGGGACAGTCACGGCTGAAAGGGAGAATGAGGGCGTGAGGTCTGGTCTAGTGTGTGCAGAAGCCCTGCTCGAGAGCAGGACCGGGGAAAAGAGAAAAATATGTGTGTGTGCAGGGCTGGAGAGCTGGCTCAGCGGTGACCCGCACTGGGTGCTCCTGCAGAGGAACCGGGTTCGAGTCCCAGCACCCACGTGGCGGCTCCAGTTACAGATTACAAAGGATCGGACACATTAATTAACTTTGTAACAAAGGGGAAGGCACAGGCCTAACTGAGTTACAGTTACTTATTCATAAGCCTGTGCTTGTGTGTGTGTGTGGGGGGGGGGGGGCTCAGAGGACCCAGCCCGGGAGTGAGAACGCATCCTTGCCCTCAGTAGTGTGGAGCGCAGGGATGGAACGCAGGCCATCAGGCGTGGCAGCCATCGCCTTCGCCACTGGGCCCTCTCACAGACCCGCTGTCTCAGCCCTGCTCCTTC